CCCCAAAACCCCAAAACCCCAAAACCCCAAAACCCCAGACCAAACAATCTAAATTGCTAGACTTAATGAAATATTCTATGCCAAACCAGCTAGTTTAATTATTCTTGAAGAAGAATGGCAACGGATTGCTTACATCCAAGTGGTTCAGCTGTGACACTATCGAAGGCGGCAATACATCCCTCCTATTCCGTATTTTTCAAAACTGTATTTTTGAGATAATAGCTGATTGTGAAGTCAGAAAAAGGTCTTTAGGCAATGGAGAGTCTTTATACATGTCCAAGCTATATAGATAGTAGCAAACCTTACCTCTTAACCGGCTGTAATTGAATATTTGAGGGTTTCTTGGTAAATATAGCCTTATTTTATTTTTCAAAATCTTACTTTTCTAATTCTATGGTTATTTCAAATTCTTTTTCATCATGTGATGCTTTATGATAGCCATTTTATCTTCTTCATTCAGAGGGAGTTTATCTAGATACCTTCTCTTCTTCTCTATCAGCATGACTCCATCCCTCGGACCTTTATCAACAGGTTTCTTGCATGATGTAGTGATTCTGGTATCTTTAGTATCTCCTGCATCATTTTCTACAGGCATGAAATCAGATTTTTCTTACCAAACTCTATATTTTTATTTCTGAAAGCTCTGTTATCCACACTTGCTCAAAACAGATTTCTGCTACTTTTTCCTTTAACCTTGTTTTTATGACTTGGAGCTCTCGCTAAATTTCAAGTAAGGATAAATCTGTTGAACTTGATAGAAGAGATCGTTTCGAAATTTACCTTGATAAATCTCTATTCCAGTTGATTGAAGGACTTTCCTAGAAATTAGAAGAGAATTACAAAGACGACTTATGCTTTCCAAAGTTTACTGAAAATGCATGTTTTCTATTTAAACTCTTCCAAGCCATTATCTCTAGCCTTTGCCAGTCTGTTTTGACTGAATTTACCTATATTATTGTCAACCAATGATGAAAAATTATGATTAAGCTAAAAAAATTGTTCTGTATTAACAAATAGGATATATTGAGATAAAATGCTTTTAAAGTAAAAAGTGATGTCTTCTTCAAACTCATTTAATTTGCTTCAGAAGCTTTTAAGGTCTAGAAAGTAAAATTTTATTTATGAAGCAGCTAATTAATAATGTGAAAGTTAGATCAGTGAAAAACGAGATATAATAATGCATTTTGACAACATTTATGACCTTGATGTTATTTGATCGTAAAACTTTTTTGAATATCCAGTTTTATAGAATAAATCGAAAGATCATTACCGAAATTAGAAACACTGAGATTAAAATCTCTTCTCTTTGCCTGGGGTTTCTTATTTTGACTCCTTCACCTTCTTCCGAATGGATATAGGACTCTAGGGGTATTATAAATGCTAACCACAACAAACCACCTTAAATCCAATTCCTGCTCCTAAACCTTACCTTTCTCTCATGCTTAAATCATATTCTCCCGTGCTCACCTATAACTTGCAACCCCTGTCTTACTTCTCCCATCCTTCTCAAGTCACACAAAAGTTTTTCTTCTATCATCTCATTCTTATTTTTACAATCTAGATTCCGTATATTGAGTATCTCATTCATTGAAGAGTCAAGAGCAGCTTTACTGTTCTTTCTTCTCTTTCGAATAAAAGTATCATACATATTATAAGGATTTTTATGATGCAGCTTCAACATCGAGTGTTTAGAGATATCAAAATTTGGCAGAATTTCCTATATCAAAAATTTTAGCAAGATGTAAAAGAAGAATTTTTAAATCACCTGTGAGTTCACGAAGAAAATTAACAATTACATGTATTTTTATGTTGACTCAAACTTAATGTTTGATTCAGCATTCCGGCTCTTGTTAAAGAAATACTTTTTAGGTTTGCTCTGAGAATTACTGTGGGTATAAGCTCATGCGTCCTTAATGTTTTGACTGCTATTGGTAATTATTATGCGTTATAGAAAGTCCATAAACACATTATTCCATTAATTTTCTTCCAAGTTGATCGAATTAATTTACCGATGATTCATTTTAGATTCTTGCATATAATTTAAGCTTAGTGAATTGTCAAGGAATTCATAACTATCTTGTTCTGTTTTTGGCGAGTTCATATTAAAATACCTCTTCCTGTACCTAAATTATGTTTTAAGCAGCCTCCATACCTTTGGATCTATTGAATTTCAATAATTCATTAAAATTTAGGGGTTTTGGGGTTTTGGGGTTTTGGGGTTTTGGGG